ATTATTCTTCATCTCTCATCAGCAGGAGTGGGCAACAATCTGGTTCACACTGGACCAAATCGTACTGAAATAATATTTAGACAGAATAAGATAAGGTCGAATAAATTTTGATTCTATTTGGGCCCTATAAATTATTATAAATATGAAGAAAATATGGACCGAAATTGAATTTGGGTCGTACCGCGGCAAACCAAATGGACCAAACATACTTTTGATTCGGTTATGGTCCTCATTTTTCCTTTGTTTTTGGTCTGGTCCTATTTCAATACGATCCAGTTCTAGACCGAGTCGACTAATGCCCCACCCCTACTCGTGAGTCGTGGGCTCGTGGATTGCTTAGTGAAACCAAAAAATATTCAAGGTTTGTGACTTTTTTGTAATAAGTGCAAATTTTTTTGACCATTTATGATAATTAGCCAATAAGTAGCTTGCAAATGAAACTTAGAAATTTTCTTAATATATTGCTATTTTGATTTACATATTGTAGATTTTAATCGAAAATCAACAAATATACAAAATATTAGTATATTTGTATTAAATTTTTACAATTGAAAGACACAAAAAATCCAAGGAGGGACAGAGCACAAATGTGGTATGGAAATATTTTGTTGGACAGATTTAAAAATTAACTAAGACCCAAAAATATTAGTATAGATGTATTACATTTGCATAGTTGAAAGATAAAAAAATGCATTATACTAACAAAAGAATATGGATGTAAAATTTTGTAGGTTATTTCTCTATTTCAAGTTGAAGTAGCAAAATATTATTTTAACCTTTAACAATATACCATATTTCAAAATATTCTATTAACCATAAATTATGTTTTCAGAACCGGAACATATTTAGGATGAAAAATGTTAATAAATCAAGATTAATGGTTTATCGATATACAATTATTGGTGAATCGTTTATGGAACTATTCATTCCTGTATATTCATTCCTGTAAAATAGGCACATGTATATAATAGTCTAATTAGGTTGAAGATACATTTAAGCTGCTCTGTTGGCTAAATTTTTAATTTCATACTTTTCTAATAAAAACTTTTCGCAATTGCCTAGTTTTTTATGGTTCATGATCGCAATAAATCAATCATATGATAGAATGAAACAAAAATATGTGAAAATTAAATATGAAAGTCAAAAGCACATTTGATCAGTTAAATTATTTTTGGTTTGATCTAATTTGATCCATATATTGATATTATCTGGTATGGATGAAATTTATTAATTAGGCTATGCCTAAGCATTCGATTGGTTTTTTTTTTTAATTATGAGCAATAGCCGTGTATTTTATTTTGCCCACATTTCCCAATTTTCTTGATCTTCATGTATGTTGAAGTCACTTTGAATCAACATTCGATTGATTTTAACTTTTAAGGGCTGATAAATGGTTTAAGGTACAAAATAGTACACCAAGGGTTGTTCCCATTGAATGGATTACCAAAAAAATCGGTTGGAAAAATACGTTTGCGAAAGCAAACCAATTTAGTCAGAATAAAGGGTTAGAAATGTAGTGCGGTCATTAAGCCCAAACAAAGTTAAGATTATAAAAAATGTTCCAATTAGAAACTTAATGACACACATCATGAGGCCCAAACCAAATACAACATCAGTATTCAAAGCCGAGGTAGTATATTGCCCTTCCATGAAATAAGGAGAACCAATCAAAGTGTAACATGGCAATAACAATATAGAGTGAAGTGCATAATATATTGTGTAGATGTAGATCAATAGAAACTCGGGTAGTTATCATAAAAGTTCACACAACTTGTCACTTAGTACAAAATGGTCACTAAACTTCATTTTTGCACGTTTCAGTAAAACACCTTTGAACGAATATCAAAACGATCATTCCATCCAATTCCATCCGAAAAATCGTCAATTAAGTCCAGTCAGCTTGACACGTCACCCCAAAAAATAAAAAATAAATGGACACGTCAGACCAACTGAACCAGCCCACCCAACTCCAACTCACCCACCCAACCCACCCGTCGGCGGCGTTAGCAGCAACATTTCTGGTGGAGGGAAGCGGCTTCATCAGGGAGAGCTGGAAGGAATCCACAGTAGTAAAGGCGTAGATTTTGGCCACTAGCTCGACGACTTCGTCGGTGGAGTTCCTAATGGTGATGGGAGCGGCGACCGTTTCTCCCACGGAAACCGACTGCAGTTTCACGTCCTGCACGTGGAACGGGAAGGAGATCGCGACGAGACCATCCCCTGTTGGGTCATAATTGCAAATGGATTTGTCTTCCTGATAATCGATGAACCCAATTTCGCCTTTATCGCTGATTATGCAATACTCGCCGTCTTCATCGTCTCATTTACTACCGGCAATGGAGCTCATGACTACACAAGTACAAATCCCCTAACCAAACAAATCCCCCTGAAGGGAAGAGAGATTCAAACCAAAATTAAAACTCAAATCCCTAATTGGAATGAAAATCCAAGCGGTGGCGAACGAGAAACGACGGCGAACGGAGGGAAGGAGAACAATGAGAATAAGATTGGGGGTGGGAGTGGGAGTGGTGGGTCACTTAGTTGAAGCAGCGTATAGTGAATCGAGAGCTGTTGAGCTCTTATTTTTTATGTATAGCAGCCTTGCGGCTGTTGCGTCACCGCCATATGATATGATGATTACTGATATAACAACTATTTTGTCTTCGGCTAGGTTGGGTGGGCGGGCGTGGGTTGAGTCGGCTGGTTAAGTTGGTCTGATGTGTCCATTTTTTATTATTTTTTGGAGTGACGTGTCAAACTGATTGGACTTAAATGACGGTTTTTTGGATGGAATCGGACGGAATGACCATTTTGGTATTCGTCCAAAGATATTTTACTGAAACGTGCAAAAATGAAGTTTAGTGACCGTTTTGTACTAAGTGACAAGTTGTGTGACCTTTTATGATAACTACCATAAAAACTCAGGTTTCTACCGACATGTTTCTTAGATTATCAAAAGTGGGAGTGACATTGAAATTTTCATCTTGAAGATTTTCAAGTAGTTTGGATGGATTAATCATTAATTGTTCATGTGGTATTTAAGTGTTATTTCAATGGTAATTGGATTAAAGTATCTCGTTTGGTAGAACCATGCAAATGTGATATTTGGTAAAAGCAGAGTGGTAAAATGAGTTATTTCGAAATAACACAGGGGGTATGAGTTATTTCAAATAACTCACTGCCAAAATAACTCATTTCAGTAAAGTACTGCTAAGTGGGTTATTTGTGTCCAATTAACTCATTGTGAGGTATTTGAAACCAAATAACTCACAAATAACCCACTCAAATACTCCAGAGAGTGTTGGCAATGGGGCTGGACGAGACGTGTACCTCAATAGTCAATACCCATGCCCCGTCCCATGCTAGTGCGGGTCGGGTCGGGTAATACCCGCGCGAATACGGGTCGGGGTTGGTCGACCCACCCTTACATGTTATTTGAAAAAACACACGCTAAATTTTACTCTTTACGCTAAAACGTAGGGGGAAGCACTTTATGAATGAAAAATAGTGATGATAGAATGTGAAATTGAGTCTAACTAGTTGAAGAAAAGTCACAATAGGATAAATATGTATTGATACTGTAAAAAATTGACATAAAATGGGCCAATAACGGGGCACAACAGGTCTAAAGTATATACCCTTGTCCCGTCCCACGCTACTACAGGTCGGGTAATACCCGACGGGGTGGGTTCAAATTGTCATCCTCTATGTTCAACTTATGCAGAACTATCATGAAGGATTGTTATAAGTTCATGAAACGAGATTGGATATATTTGCTGCAGTAGAGACTCCAGGAATATAATAAAATGAGAGATTCATCCAAAAAAAGGACAAATGCATCGACCAAGTTATGATACGAAAGTCGAAGTACCTCTAACATCGCGAACCTTTTCTGACGAAGATATTGTCCGCTTTGATTCTCGACACTCACGTTTTTTTATTTGGGGTGCAATTCAAGGTGGCTTCCCATAAGGTCACCCATCCTTGTTGTACTCCACACTAAGCATGTTTAACTTCGGAAATCTTACAAAAACTCTACCATTTCACCCCAAAACGCGCCTTGTCAGTTAAAGCCGATTTCTTACTTATGAACCATGGATCTCTCTCGTCGTGCTTTGTCGATGTGGGAGTTGCCTAAGGTGTTACATACACCCCCTGAGACTCGACGCCCTCGTTGAGGTTTGCCCCCACCATCGTTGAAGAGGGACGCAGAGAGGCTCTGATTGTAAGATCTCGAACCTTTTCTAACGAAAATATTGTCCGCTTTGGGTCTCGAACACCACGATTTTTGATTTGGTGTGCAATTCAAGGTGATAAAATCACCCATTATTGTTGTACTTCACACTCAACACGTTTAACTTAAGAGTTCTTGCAAGAACTCTTTCATTTCACCACAAAACGCGTCTTGTCAGTTAAAGCCGATTTCTTACTTATGCACCATGTATCTCTCCCGTGCTTTGTAGATGTGGGATTCGCCTAAGGTGTTACATACACCCCCTGGAACTCAACGCCCTCGTTGAGGTTTGCCCCACCATCGTTCAAGAGAGATGCATAGAAGCTTTGATACCACTTGTAACATACTAACATCCCAAACCTTTTCTAACGAAGATATTATCCGCTTTTGATTTGGGGTGCAATTCAAGGTGATTTCCCATAAAGTCACCCATTCTTGTTGTACTCCAGAGTCCACACTGAGCACATTTAACTTCAAAGTTCTTATAAGAATTCATCTATTTCACCCCAAAACACGTCTTGTCAGTTAAATTCGATTTCTTATTTATGAACCATAGATCTCTCCCGTACTTTGTTGATGTGAGATTCGCCTAACGTGTTACCGTGATCACTTACATTCACTTAAAGAAAAAAGTAACCACTTACCCAAAAACCGAAGTGGGTTGCTTCCTGAATCAAATGTACCCAAAAATCGAATACCATATACATACCGTACATCTCCCAACAACCTATACAGGCCCGTGTATGGTGCTTAACCACTCCCTTACACATACTACATAGTTAACCCAGAGGAAGTGAAGAACCCACCTAATGCGAAACAGAAGGGGATAGTCTGCTACTCTGCTCTCCACTCAGCAGCAAGCTATTGGAACTTGGAAGCTGATCCGTGATGGCTGCCTTCTGAATTATCGATGGCCGTTCTCTCCGAAGTCGTCTCTCTTTCAAAACCTTAGCACAGCAGCTTCGCGCGATAAATCTTTAGTCTACATCCATGGTCAAGTACGATCTCATGGCCCGAACCGTGCTGGAACCTCTGTCCACCTTCGATATCTCGGCCCATTCTCGCACTTCAATTCGCTCCATCGCCGTCTCTTCCGGCCCCGATCCCCCAACTCTAATCTACATCGGTACGTACTCCGGATCCTTACTCCTGCTTGCCACCAATTCCGTCTCCGCGTCTAACCGTGCTGCGACTCCCGACGACCGCGACGATGATTCCAAGAGGAAAATTTCCTTTATGCGGAGTGTTTCAGTTGGGGATTCTCCTGTGGAAACAGTGCTGCTCCTTGGTGAGATTGGGAAACTTCTAGTTCTCTGCGACGGTTCCTTGTTTTTTACCGACTCGCTATTGGATCAGCAGCTCAAGAAATTGAGTTTGGTTAAGGGAGTTTCTGCAATTGCGAAGAGAATCATCAGTGACGAGTCGTGTAGCTCTGACATATTGAGTATCTTGGCTACTACGACCAATTCGGAATCTTCGAGTGCGAGTCTGCGCATTTTGCAGAAATTGGGCGGCGGGGTTAGAGCTAACGGAGTGAAAACCAGAGACTCCACCCAACAAGTTGAAGGCAACTGTAACGTTTTTGCAGTTGCGGTTGGTAAAAAGATCGTATTGGTAGAGCTTGTATTTGGCAGCGATTCCAGAACAGTGAAACATGAAGGTGGTGCTAGCGGTTTGAATGGTTCTTTTGTGATGCTGAAAGAGATCCAGAGTAGTGTTGAAGGAGTTAAAACGATTGCATGGCTCAATGACTCGATAATTGTTGGTACAATGATGGGGTATAGCTTATTTTCCTGTGTCACTGGGCAAAGTGAGGTTATCTTCAGCTTGCCCGATTCTTCTAGATCGCCATTGCTAAAAGTGTTGTGGAAAGAGAAGAAGGTCTTGTTGTTGGTTGACAATGTTGGAGTTGTTGTTAATGATAATGGGCAGCCAGTTGATGGGAGCTTGGTTTTCCGTGGTCATCCTCAATCAGTTGGAGAGTTGTCTTCTTATGTTGTTATTGTGAGGGATGGAAAGTTGGAATTGTATCATAAGAAATCAGGTAGTTGTGTTCAGACGGTTGTATATGGAGGGGAAGGAGTTGGGCCTTGTCTAATAGCGGGCGAGGAAGGTGGGGACAGTAAATTGATTACCATAGCAACGTCTACTAAGGTATATACTTCTGTTCATTCAGCTTCAGATTTTGACACTTCAATTTCAACTGTTCTTGTTAAGGAACCGCTGGCTTTGAGTGCATATCAAACAGTTTAATCATAACATGTAAGCAACTATAATTAACTAAGAATTAATCTATACAGTTTTTTTGTCTTGTGGAGTTTGATATGAAGCCACAATCTCAAATGTCCCATGCTCAATTTTTATCAAACTCTAGAACCGTCCCAACCAGCATAGGCAGATCTAGCTTGTTGCAATATAATTGTGAGACTTTTGTTTTTGTTAGCCGAACATAGAGTGTGTTGTCCGCTGCTAGTTTGTGAACAAAATGTTTCTCCTTATAAAATCATTTAGAAATTGGATCCTGAAAAACAGGAACAATAATTGGACGACTTTGCAATGACTATGTTATTGATGTAAGCAAGTTTAAGAGACATTTTTTAACAATAATCTCTAATCATTTGCCTTGTTCATAGGTTATCTGTTATCATAAGGTGCCTTATGAAGAACAAATTAAAGATCTACTGAGAAAGAAAAACTTCAAAGAAGCAATGGCTTTAGTAGAGGAGCTCAAATGTGAAGGCGAATTGAGAAACGATATGCTGTCCTTCATACATGCTCAAGTGGGGTTCCTCTTGCTTTTTGACCTGCATTTTAAGGAGGCAGTTGATCACTTTTTGCAATCAGAAACAATGCAGCCATCTGAGCTTTTCCCATTTATCTTGCGAGACCCGAACCGTTGGTCTTTGCTGGTATGTCCTCTTATTTTGTCCATATGATAATTGTACATTATAATTTTGTTTGTTGTGTTTTATGAAAAAGTGGTCTGTATGATTGTTGTTGGTTAAAATTCTTATATAAAAGACTTATTTTGCAACATTTTCCTTACAAAGCTGGTATGGGCTGACAACATCCTTTTACTTTTTCGAGTAACTTGAAATGGATTTAAGGGGTAAAGTGGGTGTGTGATGCAAAATATCTAAGGACAGAAGAAGAATTTGTCTTCTGGAAATGTTAATGAGAAACCGTGAAACAATTACTGAACCTGAATCTGGTTGACAGATGTGTCCTATCTGATGCAATCCTTGAATGGGGTATACTGTGAGAAGTGTGTGGCAACAAAAACGTGATTAAGTGGTTATCGTTGATTGTTCTAATCATAGTTTGACCATCAACTATCTAGGATCACTATGATGTCATTTGGTGATAGTGGTCCGAAGTGGTAATGCATTACCAAGTACCGGAAATTGTTACCGAAACGTCCGTGCAACTACTGCTCTCAAGGAGGGGTTAGGTACTGTCTGAGGCTGTCTAAGATTGTGATTGGTGAAGTCTTTGTTGACATAGCCATCCTGTTGCTCCCAGTCAGATCATTGGTGATCCTGTGCTTCTCTCACCATCGCTCTTCTGCATCAAAGTTAACTTGTTCCTTTTCACCATCCTATTAATTCTTTCTCATCAAGAACTACTGTCCTGGAAAATGGATTGGGGCAATTTGAACTTCTGTACTTCAGCACTCCATTTAGGATTCACCCTCATATGTGTTGGGGGGTTCTTTAAAATCAAGCTAGTAACAGCTGTAAGTTTGTAATTTTATACACGGAACTAGGTGTAGTGAACATGTACGTTCATAGTGTCATGAATTCAGAGTAGTTCTGTGATCTCAAATTCTACAAGGAGGAGACTTGTAGATTAGATCATACTCAAAATACCACTTGATTAAACTTTCATGTTTGTGATATTGAGCCATAGAAAATGAGTGGAACATTGTGAATGATGATAGAGGGACATAGGATATACCTGAGGTCCTGCACAGTATGCTTGAGCAATTATTGGATGCATGGTCTGTTTTAGTTATGTTTTTTTATGGTGTAACAGTTCAATTAGAGGATGAAAGGCTGCAATGTTCTTACCGGTATACTTTTATTTTCACCTTGCCTTTCAGGTTCCTAGAAACAGATACTGGGGTTTACATCCTCCTCCTGCACCACTTGAGGATGTTGTAGATGATGGCTTGACTGCTATCCAACGGGCTGTTTTTCTAAAAAAGGCTGGCGTAGATACTGTTGTGGATGAAAATTTTCTCCTGAATCCACCAAACAGAGCTGAAGTTCTTGAATTGGCAATCAAAAGCATCATCAGGTCTGACATGTTTCTGTAGACTATTTACATGTTTTTCAGTTGTATGTTATAATTGTTGCAATTGTGGTTGCTTGTAACCCAAAGCAGCTTTTTGAATCAGATACCTGGAGATATCTCGTGTAAAAGAGTTGCCTCTGCTGGTGAGGGAGGGTGTGGACACGCTACTGATGTATCTCTACAGAGCCCTTAACAATGTTGATGATATGGAAGCACTTGCTTCTTCTGAGAACAACTGCATTGTGGTACGGGCCATATCTGTCTTCACTATGTTCATTTTTTTTAATCATATGGTATTGATGAGCATTCATTCTGCAATTGTTACATTGGGAAAACATTGAAAGTTTTCACGGCACTGGAAGAAATGGGCAAAAAAATAAATTTATCCGAAGAGGATCAATACTTTGTTTTATGAGCATCTCTCAGCCCTAATAATGTGACTTCTCCTGTGTTACCATGGTGGTGAGTTGATTTGGAGTTGTGTTTGCATGCTACACGTGTAGAGAGATAAACAAGTTCGAGATAATTAGTGTACGAACACTTGGGTTGGCTTGGGACTCTTGGAATACTGTACTCATTGCATCACCAGTTGATTGGCAAATATGGTGAACAAACGAGTAAAATTAAAATGTTGAGGCTCATTCCAGTGATAAGTGTTTTCACAAAGATCCTAGTTGTTTGGGGTGCAGTACATTCTTATGATAGATGTAGGTCCAGTGCTCATTAAATTAGATTCTAAGCTTCTCGGCAATGCTAGAATTGCGGCAATTTAGTATTCCACTGCATTTCAAAACAGAGAGGCTGTTGTCAGGAGCTTGAAGGGTGACGTGCAACTTCCATGCGTGGTGCAGGAGGAATTGGAAACTCTGTTAGATGAATCTGGGCACCTACGGACGCTAGCCTTTTTGTATGCAAGTAAAGGGATGAGCTCAAAGGCTCTTTCAATATGGCGCATTTTTGACAGAAACTATTCATCCGGTCTGTGGAAAGATCCTGCTGAGGACAACGACGTACAAAGTAGTGCAACAAATATTCTTTCTGGTAGAGAGACTGCTGCTACTGAGGCGTCAAAAATCCTTGAGGAATCATCTGATCAAGTTTTGGTTTTGCAACATCTTGGATGGGTATGCACCAGACTAATTTATGTTTCTTGCTTGTAACATGGAAACTGTTGGCTGATATACGTTCTGTGTTCAGATTTCAGATGTTAATCCAATACTTGCAGTTCAAGTTTTGACATCTGAGAAAAGAGCAGATCAGCTTTCACCTGGTAAGCTTGGACATTGAAAAATTCTCACTGCTTACTTTCAGCTGACAACCTTGTTGATGGCATGGGTGCTTAATGTAACATCTGGACTTGTTATATATTGATGTGCATTATATTCTGGTTCTATTGCAATTTCTTACATCAGACATTTGACGGCTTGTTTTCAATCAGCTTGTTTCTGATATAATATATATTATTATAAGCGCATATCACTTACTAATGGAAGTGATAGTAAAAGAACTACTGGGTCAGTGCTGACATCTTCTGGGCTATTGTACTTTTCTGGGAATAAGAAATATCATAACAGTGATACGTGGACAAATATTGTGGACATTTAGGCGATCAGTCAATTAGGCTATTGGATTTCCTTTTCCAGTATCGTTTTCTTTTCACAAGTTTAACTATAAGATCGGAGTTCATTTAGTATGGTACTCGTTGCTTGGTCTATAAATATGTATATCTTCTATTGGAGACAATCTAGTCCTTATTATTCTCACGGATAATGGCAGTGCCCTCATCATTTTTTTGTGAAGTTTATTATGCTACCTTGTGTTGGTTTGGTATTCTCTTGGGCTTACATTTTGTTCTTCTCAGATGAAGTAATTGCAGCCATTGGTCCGAAAAAGGTTGAAATACTCCAAAGGTGCGTGCCAAAAAATTTCAATGAATAAATGGTACATGAGTAGTTCTTACAACGTCTCTCTTGGTTAGACTTACTGCGGTTGTCACTTGCAGTGAATGCTCTCCATTTCTCTTAGCTACGATGTTGAAGTTTACTAAGTTATGTCTCTCGTATCCTAGTTTCCACTTTTAATCAAAGTTACACGAGTAGGTCTTAGGACCTCTTGGTAACATTTGTTGGGCTGTGACTAGCAGTGAATATTCTCCATTTTTCTTAGCTCTGATGTTGAAGTTTACTAAGCTATTTCTCTCGTGACCTAGGTTCTATTTTTAGTTTCCTTTTATGTTTCAGTAAGGTTACATTCAGCATATGTGGTCAATAGGTACCTCCAGTGGTTGATTGAAGATCAAGACTCAGTGGACACAAACATTCACACATTGTATGCCCTTTCGCTTGCAAAGTCAGCAACTGAAACCATTGAACTGGAAAGTTCCTTCCAGGACTCTGACGATGGAAGAATAGAGGTGACTAGATTTGCCAACTCTGAGAGGAGCACAATCTTTCAGAGTCCTGTGCGTGAAAGGTTGCAGATATTCTTACAGTCGTCAGATTTATATGATCCAGACGAAGTCCTTGTGTTAATAGAAGGATCAGAATTGTGGCTGGAAAAGGTTCTTTCATGGCTCTTTCTCAGCTATGTGTTTACATTGTCCCATTGGTCATGGATAATTATTCGCACTCTAGTGTAAATTACCACTACCTCCGGTTTTTTTATAACAAGATACATCAGACACTAACTAATTGTGTTCTTCATAGTTGCATATTTAAGTACAACTTTCTTTTACAGGCTATCTTGTACCGGAAACTAGGGCAAGAGTCATTGGTGCTACAGATTCTGGCCTTGTAAGTTAATATATCTAGCTAGTTGCATCACATCTGTTATCTCCTCCAGAAATAATTGACAAGTGGCAGTTGCTTAAGCTTTCATTTGCTTTGTGGTAGAAATGATCTGTCATGGGTTTGGATACTTAGTTCTGAATGCTTTGCTTTATGGTTGATTTAGGAGGGTATGTGATAAACAATGACCCATAATTGATAACTAATAACTGACGAAACCATCTGTCAACCTCAAGGTTATCTTTACCCCAAGTCTGAGACCATGAGTACAGTAGATGCAATCTAGACCATCAAAGCCAGCTGTGTAGTCTATAGTCACTAGTAGTACCTGAAAAATTCTCGTACCATCCTTTTGTTAGCATGCATTTTGAAGACTCTTGCTTGATGATTTGGTTCAGGGGTGTTGATTTTTTGCTTGATTTCTGAATCTTTTGCATGCTGATTATGGTAGACTGCAAGAATTTGCAATTTCATGAACAATTAAGCTCGATTTTTCAGGAAGCTCGAGGACAGTGAAGCTGCTGAGCATTATTGTGCAGAAATTGGAAGACCAGATGCCTATATGCAGTTAATTATTGTTCTGATCCCTTGCTGCTTTGCTTGACGTTCCATTCTTTAACTGATTGTGATAATATCTCTTTAGGTTACTTGACATGTATTTGGATCCACAAAACGGAAAAGAGCCTATGTTCAATGCTGCAGTCCGCCTCTTGCACAATCATGGAGAGTCATTAGATCCTTTACAAGTATTGGAGGTATTAGTCTGCTTCCATTTCTTCTACGCATTTTGCTGAATGGCATCGAATTTTCTGCGGCTGAATGACCATTATGCACATACCGTTAGCCTAATTACTTGCTGAAGACTGTGCATATTTGTTGGAGTAGAGCAATACCATGTGCCAGACATTCCGATGAGTCCTCTTTTGACCTCATCTGGCCTTTATGCTGAGTCTTTTTACAGACGAAATTAGCGGCCCAGAATACCTCCAGAAGTTAGGGACCTTGTTCCGAGGTCCATTTCTGTTATATGCCTTAATTCTAGTTTCCGTTCTTGCTAGTGCTGTTTGTGTTAGAAAATTGGGGAAATTAGAAAAAAACTTGTTCCTCTGCCTTTGTGGGGTGGGCTGGTTTGGGCTTCTGTCGTTCTAAGGGTGAAAAGACTCAGCACAAAAGTTGAGTGTATATGGTTACCTAATTCTTCTCCATGTTCACAGAAAACAAGAGCTTCTACATATTATGATGCTTTGTCTGCTAGTTGAAAATCTATGCACAAAAACCATTGCTAAATAAAAGATGACAGCTGCACTGTTTCACTTTATTTTCAGGAACTTGCAAAAGAATTTTTTTCTCAGATATGTTCTCTTTCCTGCTGCAGGCATTATCTGCTGATATGCCCCTTCAGCTAGCCTCGGACACAATATTGAGAATGTTGAGGGCTCGAGTTCATCATCATCATCAAGGAAAAGTAAGTTCTATACTTCTTTCTTTTGCTTGGAATCAGGTGCAAACCGTTCTCTGAAAAGTATGTATCACTTTATCCTGTTCTTTTTTCTGTAAAAAAAATATTTATCCTGTTCCTTTGGAAGTTTAAACGTAACTTTTTTTTACCTCTACCGTGACCTGATTTTGAAGTTTATTGTTCTTTTAATGGGTCATGGGATTAGTAGTTGCAGAACAAGCGCACTGGTGAATGTTGTCTTGATTTTATTTCATACCACTTCAGCATTTTATCGCTGGCCTTGTGTTGTTTCTTTGATTTCATTGAGCTAGAGTTTGCTTTTTTTTTTTTCCAGATTGTACATAATCTATCGAGAGCTGTTTATGTCGATGCAAGACTTGCAAGATGGGAGGAAAGGTCTCGGAATTTGCAGATCAGTGATGAGAGCCTCTGTGACTCTTGTCATGCCCGCCTTGGAACTAAGCTCTTTGCAATGTATCCTGATGACACTGTTGTCTGTTACAAGGTTTGATTTATATATATATATATATACTGCTGTGGCATTCTTTTTTTTTTTAATGGTCTCAACTTCATACTTTCTCGGAAGCAGATTTCTGGAGGACACCAAATTGCATTGAAACTAGCATATCTTTCCAAAATTTAAGTACAAAATTTAAGTAGTTTCCAATGAGGTTAACTTGGCGGAAACAAACTAATAAATAAGGATCCTTAAAATTATGGCTCAAACCGGAGACCAACAAATTGGTAGCTGAATGAGGTTTTGTAATTTCAAATGAACTTTGTGGAGGGTGGTATGTTTAAATTTATTGCATAATGTTAACATTGTGTTGGTATTTTCGCAGTGTTACCGACGCCAAGGAGAGTCAACTTCAGTTTCAGGACGTGACTTTAAGCAAGATATTCTCTTCAAACCTGGGTGGCTGGTAATTCACTAGGGAGAACTGTGTACATCTGAACCAAGAGGCATGACTTCTTATGTATCTAATAAAACCATGATTGGTGGTTTCTGCTAACTTCAGTTCCAATAAATTTTTTGTCTACTGTCTTTGGCCTCGTGATGTGAAAATCATTTGATCTTTTCCTTCTGAGAAAAGTTGTGGGATTTGTTATTGTCCGAGTGTCTTCTGGTCAAATAATTATTGCAGCAGACATAAGAGATCTTCAGGATGGGTACCATTATAAATATAGCCGGCCCTTACTGTTTGGTGCCCGTTCTTCTCATTTGGCGTCTTCATCAAATTACATGCTTGTGCCAGAGCGTGCCAATAGTTCAGTGCGAGAGAACAGTAAGTATGCCCTTCCGGTTATACTAAATATATTGATTAAATTTCTGTGCAGTGTCATCTAACGTAATTCATGCATAAACATTGGAGTTTTCATTGGAAATCCAACAATTATTCAACTTATTGATTGAGCTTCCTATGAATGTATGTTGATGTTGCTTTTGATAGATTGTTGGCTTCCACAATCTAGGATTCATTATAGATGATTAACTGGAGTAAAAGGGGTTGATTTTTGTGATTGTTTATTTGTGCTCTACCGCCTATTCTATGGGCGAGCTTTAAGGGTTACTCCAGAAAGTGATAGGAGTACTTCTATTAGGTTGCACTCACTTAAGCAGTTTTTTATGTAATTCATAGCCGTTGAGAAGTTGAATTAACATTATAGACTGACCTGGAAGGTGTCTGAACCATAGAAGAGTGCTTTCCTTATGGGATTTCTGTTGGGAATATGAGCTGGGAATTTTTTTGAATCCGATTCTCTCCTCTTATGATATGTATTTAGTTTTGGTTCTTATGTTCTTAATACGATTGATCATGTGGATCTAATGCATTTGTACACTGGCTGCACTTGCTATTCTGAAACTACAGGAACTTGGAAATCCATAGTTTTGGCGTATCCTAATTCCAAAGGCAGTAACTTGGAGAATAGCGCCTCTCGATTGATGTGCAGCTCTAGTTATGCATTCCAGATTGCATGTTGGCAATGTAATCTGATGGTGCCAGTTCTGGGTACTGGCACATGTGGGATGATGGTGCACCTGTGAAAGAAGACTCGGTGGGCATGCAATACACTGTTGTTTGCCTCTGGAGGATTGATGCTTTTTGACAAGGTAATACGTCATTGAGCTGCAGGGTTTAGTTATATCGTAACTTGGTTTAAATCGTTACGAATCATTCATAACAAACAATATAAAAAAAACATAGTTGAATCGACACTTGCTTTGCCAACTTGAGAAGAAACCTCTACTTGCTTTGCCTGCATAGACTTGCCTCGATATAGGAAGAGCGTGTCTCCAGCAATCTTTTTGTCACCTGTAGGATAGTGGTCGTTTGGATGTCGGAATGTGGGATTTCATGGAATGTTAACGTTCCATGGAATGTGAAATGAAATGAATGTGACAAAGGAGTGAAATGTTGACATTGTTCTTTTTCTGTAAGATGGAATATGGGGTGCTGGAATTGCTCTTCAAATGGGGAAAAAAAAGCACCATATTTTTAACGTGGGTGATGGAATTGGACAATCCAACCCAGATCTACCCATGGAATTCTGATTCCAACTGTTGCTGGAGTTATAATTCCATGACCATTGTTTGGTATTCCGTCGTCGTTAAGTTGATTTATCCAATGATGGGAAGTGTCACGTCTAGTCATTAAATGAAAAATATGCCACATTTCGCAGATATGTTGTTGGTATTTTACATAATACTCTTTTATATTACATTCTTATAATATCAATCTTTTCATCACTATGTAAGGAAAAAAAAAAAAAATCAAACCAACTAAAGCCCACACTTTCCACTGATAGCAATCTTCTTATCTTGCCAGTTTTCCGATTCTCCCTAGATATCACAACATAATCACTATGAGACAGAAATATATATATATATATATATATATGAATCATGAATGTACATCACAAAGCACAAACGAAGTCTCCACTGGTCTCCACATCATCAATGTCGTCCATGTCAGCATCCAGATCATCAAGCTCCATGCTACCTCCACAGCCAATCAAATTGCCGCCCAATTTCAGGCCATCTCCTCCTTTCCTGGCCTCCTGGATTATAGCCGCCACTTCTTCCATCGTCTGCTGCCACCCCCGGCCGCCGCCGTCGCCTCCTAATTCCCCGCCATTTGCTCCGACCTTCCCTTCAGCTTCTGATCCCAGGTTGAATTCCGCTGTCAAGTTCTTCTGGAACCAGAGATGCTTCTTTATCTCTGGGATTGTTATCCTCTGCAGCCAAAATAACAAACAAACAAACAAATTAATGCTCAATTTACAACTTTAATGATTGTAAGCTTGTAGACTTAGACTGAAAGCAAGAGCAAAGTTGTTTTTCTTTGTAGTAATAATAATAATGACCTTTTCAGGGTCGGCCACAAAAATGGTGGAGAGGAGATGTTTGCACTCCTTGGAGACTCGAACATAATCTGGGATTGAGTAGTGCACGCTTAGGATCCGCTGCCGTCCTCCAATTAATGATACCAAACATGTTAGTTGGGTGGGGACAAATTACTTTCTAGATAATATATATCAAAATGAGGGCTTCCAATTTTCATGGGTCAATTCACAATAGTCCTAATCAATCAATCAAATGTACTCTTGCAAAAAAATGAATGCATATAACGTACTCAACAGTCGACACTAAAAGTAGCCTTAAGACACTTGATTTTGATTGATAACATTAGTATGGTATGATGATATAATATTGAATTACAACTAATCAAATTCAATACCCTAATCAAATCCATTATCCTAACCATTAAACCTTCAATTTTGAACACTAACCCTAAACCTCAAATCATAACCCTAAATCACTAAACACTAAAACCTTCAAATCAGTGTAAATTCATGTGTTTTCTTGTCTATCATATCACAAGTGATGATTGAAATCATTTTAACATGAATCGCCTACTCAAAAAGACGATTATGAGACGAGTGCATTGAATGCATCCAAAAAAATAAGTGCACCGAAGACAAAATCATATATATATATTATTTACCTGGTGAAGGGGAAGCTCATCCCGAAATTTAAATTGAAAACCAATGATAGTAAAACTTGAATAAACCCTCTTTCGCTGTTTAATTAATTAATTTAATAATTGATAAGAAGAGTTAAGTAACGACGGACGAACCTGAATGGTTTTCTTGAAGTTTCTTGGATCGTCAGGATCTTCGAAAGGATAACCACCCACCAACATGACATACAGCGTAACCCCACATGACCAAACATCCGCTATCTGATAATAATTAACAACAAGCAGATAATAATAAAGCCAAATAGGCAAGCCAATCAAAATCAGAACTTTCTTGATTAATGAAATGTCAACGCAACCGAACAAAACCCATTATCAAGCAGTGGCTGGCTGGCTGCTTCTGGTGGTCTGGGCTTTGTTTGGTAATTAGGTGACCGTTATCCTAAAATCTGGTTGTGTTAATTGGGGGAATTAGTACGTTACCTTGCCGTCGTATTCTTTTCTTGACAAGACTTCTGGTGCAATGTAGGCCGGCGTTCCCACCGTCGATTTGGGCTGTGAATGGAGCACAGCTGACTGCCGCGTGTACCCAGAACCAATTTTAGTTAGTATATAAATAAATGCAGAAATTGCCATCATACTTCTTACTTACAGCTTTCTTATATAATATTGGTAACTAGTACGTACTTCCTCAATCCAATGACCATAAAATGATGAAAAAGGGGGTAGGTGATTCCCAGTTTAACTAAAATATAAGGAGTATATCCACCCAAAATAATGTATACATATAATGAGTATGAAATTGAAATCTTGTAAGATTATATTATGATATTATCTCATAATCCATTTGGATAACGGAATATAATGACCATGAGTGTGACCTATTTATACATCATGACAAAATGAAAAGTGGTAAAACTCATTTGTTTGTTTACATATAACAAGTGAAAGGAAAGTGGACACTATACAAGCTACTTTCTATGGAGGTAGTGCATGAAACTTAACATCATAGTTAGGTTCTGGATTTCTTCTCGTATTTTTTTTTATAATTTATACGAAAGATTTGTTCTGATTTTACTCTAATTTTTAATGAGTTCTGTCTTATAAAAAATTGCTTATAAATGATGAAATGTCGAAATTTTATTTCAATCACATTCCATGAATTGCATTTCAATCGCCATTTTGCTGACGAAACGACACGTTAAATATGTTAAGCAAAAGTATAATTTGGTCCGAACGAAGGGGGGGGGGGGCAACATATCATTGTTAAGTAAGTACCCCCCCTAATCTCAAGGTCTAGATTGAAGAATAGAGATTCATCTGTTTGAAAGGGAAGAGATGTTTTCTTTTGAGACTTGCCTTGGAATATCCGAAATCGCAAATCTTGAGACGGGGTGCCGGGCTTCCATCCAACAGCGTGTTTTCTAACTTCAAATCCCTATGGCAAATTTGCTGTTTCAAACAACCCAAAAGAGTGAAAATCAGGAAGCAGAGCAAAATAGAGCAGAACAGGGGAGAGACAGGTAGTAGTACCAATACCATACCATTGAATGGCAGTAACTGACTCCTGATATCAGTTGTTGGAAGAAAAACCTTGCCTATCATCAACATAGCAAAACAGGGCAGTCAAATTATATAATTTTGTCAAAAAAAAGTGGGGTTGTATCTGAAATGACAAAAACAGGACAACAGAAACCTCGTCTTCACTGAATCTTCCGGCATTGCATATTTTCTCGAACAGCTCCCCGCCGGCAGCATACTCCATTACTATCGCCAAATGGGTCGGTGTCAGCAAGACCTGCAAAATTCAAAACAACCAAAAAAGTCAACAACTTTACACCATTTTAACGGGTAAAAACTGACAAAAAATCAATCAGCTTGTTGGCTTCCAGCTATAACATATTTCTTCACCTCTTTGAATCGGATGATGTTGGGATGCTTCAAAGATCGGTGGTTCATGATCTCCCTCTGCACATGCTCATCAATCTGAAACCCCAAAGACCAAAAAGGAGCTGCTGAGAATATGTAAAAATAATGAGAGGAAGAAAAAAAAAACAGAGTGCTTGAGGGGGCAAAAGAAGGAGAATTCCAATAAGCAGGGGGAGTGGAAGGGGCCGACCTTGCTCCCTCTCTCGATATACTTGACAGCAAAAAGCTCCCCACTCCATTTATCTCTCACCAGCTTCGCAAATCCGAAATTCCCGGACCCAATATCTTTCACTTCCTCATATCTCTCCATCGCTCCCCAGCTTTAATAGAGTTCCTTGAATACTCTGTTTTCCCCTGTTTTCTTGCTCTGTTTTCAGTTACAGTGAATCTGATTACCCAGAAATATATTAGCAGCCTATGCCCTGTTGAGTTCTGATTCGATTTGAGCTTCTCTTCTCTTCTGGTTGGTTTTCCTCCTTCTGGGTTCCGGGTTTCAGCAGCTGAGAGGAGAATCTCGATGGCGTTGTTGCTTCATGGCCACGAATCGGGGGGAAAGTGGGGAAGAAAGGAAGGGGAAAGAAGGGAAGGAAAAGGGAATTGTTAGAAGTATTATTGTGTATTATTGATGTGGGAATGAATAGGAAAAAGGGAGGTGTCGAATTGGAAGGCATGATGTTTGGCGGTGGTGGTATGGTGGGCCTGAAGGATTCGTGGGGTTGGGAGATATGCCCTTCCATGACGGGCTGCCAACGACTGCGACTCTACGAGGGAGAGGTCACAACGTTAAACTGCAAACCAAAAAAACCCAATAGGAAAACGAAAGCGGAAGGCGCCGTAGCCGAAGGAAAGAAGGAAGAAACGGTCTAATTCTACCCAACCTCACAAGTCACAGCTCTGGTTCAGAGACAGACGAGTTAATGACCTATGAGTGGGGGGATGAAGACAGCCAAACAGATTATAAAAAGAAAAAGGTGTGGTTTGGTTTGGTTGAATCGTATTTATGTTTTAGGGGGAAATGTAATGATCTTGTATTATAGTGTTGTTTCTGTCCCGTTGAATTCAAGTATAAGCTTGTATTTTGCTGTTGAAAAGGGTATGATTAATGTCTAAAGAAGATGTGGTGGAGGAAAGACCAGATATTTTGGATTAGATAATAGATATAATGAGCTGTAATTCTAATGATAAATGAGGTGGATATGATGCAAAAATAAAATAAAGTGAATAGTATTATTATTCAATAACGCTATTGGACAATTGATCACTGCATTAATTCCGATTTTATTGTTTAGTTTTTTACTTCTCTTTACATGCGGGATGGGCCTCGCTGCTCAAATAGGATGTCCATAAACGAACAAGAGATTGTTATAGTGGTAATATCACTAGTCTTAAACATAGAGGACCCACATTCGATGTCCATAAACTGCTTTCTGAGACTTCTTCAACAAGATTTGATGACAATTATTTGCCCCTTCACCATCAACGACATCCACAAATCCATTTACGACATGAAGCCTCTAATAGCCCCTGGTCCTTATGGCTACCAGACCATTTTTTACCTAAAGTTTTGGCCCCCAGTTAGCAAAAGTCTCGTCAAAATGGTTGTCGGTTTTTTTTATACAAGGTGCATTGCAAAGGCAACCTTGGAGTATTTTGATCATCTTAATCCTCAACCTTCAAGAGGTGCTCCTTTAGAATTAGCTTCTTTTTATTTCTTGGGATGAATTTTGTAGCAGGGGTCTGCTGGGAGCAATGTAGTAAAAAACTCGTCTTAAAATGCTAAAATGCTTCAATTTCTATATGAAAACGTATTGTGTGTAAAAACATTAAAAAAGGTCAAAACAGTCAAAAGAGTCAAAAACACGATTCTAATTCATTTTTTGTACGTTTCCAGTTACAGGAATTTCAACCAATTTCACACCCTATCTACCAACAAACCCGCTACGGCGGGTTGTATTGTTATCCCCTCTTGAAATCACTGCAATGCTGCAAAACAAAAACTTGGTTGCCACTGAAACCTTCCAACTTTTCATTAGTTACAATTAAGTCCTTCAATTTTCAATTCACTTCACATTATTATAGATTTAAATTAAGTTTAACCATAAACCAATTGATCAAACACCTTCCTCATGTCCTAGTTAATCAATTCAAGGATTGCTTCATATTTTAAAATCGCTCAAATATTGGGATGACGTCATCTTGATGCGAGCACGACATATGACATGTTCAAGAAGGATGAGGATGTTACTTCACAGCTTTATCAAGTGATTACTTTATTGTTTGATGTGTGACTTAAGTGATTAATATTTACTAATAATATGATTTCTCGCGTTCAATGGATGAAAGACCTTATAATAAAAGAAACTGAAGTAATCATGTTTAAGACATCAAGATTGAAAGAAAATGACCAATATTGAAGTGTAGTTGTTAATTGGTTATATTTTTTTATGAATGAAGAAGGCTCATTATTTCCTTATTGCATTGTTGGTCTAGTTGTATGTTTGCTCCACTATTAAAAGTTTGTCAAATTAGATTATCAGCATGAGTAGTAACCTTTCTACATGAGACATATAGTTTTTTGAAGATTAATCAGATTATACAAAAAAAAAACTTATGTTTTTACGCTACGCTTTTACGTTTTGCGTTTTTACTCATGTTTTCGCTTCTGTGTAGAAACGCGCATTTGATAATATTGGCTACGAGGGTATGGGGTGAGGTTTCTAATTTCTCTCTTGTTATTGCTTGGATAAAAAAAGTTGCTCCACTCTATGAGAAAGAAGAAATGCAACAAGGGAGGTATGATGCTCAAAATTGACCTTCAAAAAGCCTTTGACAAACTAAGATGGGGCTTCCTCAGGATACTTTAAAAGATATCGGCATACCTAGCGCTTGGATCAATCGCATTATGTTTTGCATATAACACAACAAAAGGGCATCAACTAGAACAGAGAGCTCACGTCCCTAATTATTCCTTATCGTGGCGTTCATTAGGGTGACCATTATCTCCCTTAATCTTTTTGTCTGTTATTTATGGAACAAAGATTGTAAAATTCTATCAAAGGTTATACTGAAAAAGTTAGTGTTATGATATTTTATATTTAAATGATGTTCAACCGTTTCATACAGCTAAAAATCACCTACAGATTTAGACTCGGGTGTGATGTATTTTCTGTCAGCCCGTGAGTACGGTACGGTTTCACAAACAATGATATAAAACGCTTGTCTCATAGGATCGAAAAAGCAATTACTGCCAAAATTTGAAAGCCAATATTCCTAAGTCCTAACCAAGGATGACCCCAAATTGTCACCTCTGCTCTTTCCTTACGATCAGGGGCGGACCCAGGGGGTTTTAGGGGTGTCCCCGGACACCCCTAAATTTTGGGAAAATGATTATCCAAGTCCAGGTGGTAATTTATGTATAGACAAAAAAATATAATTGATAGTGAGGGACACCCCTGAAATTTGAAAAAATGATTATCCTACTGTCGTTTGTGTATAAAAATATAAATGGTAGGTTAGGTAATTCAAATCTAGAACACTATTATTATTATTAATAAACTTAATTTCCGTTGAGCTACAACTCATTTGTTCGATTTTGAACAATGCGTAATAGTAAAAAGTCATTCCCTATCTCTAATTAGTTCAATCTAAACTAATTTCAATCTACCCTTAATTTGTTAATTTTATGATTGTACGACAAGTGTTGAAGAGTCTTTCAGCTTTGGGTTACATCAAGAACAAGTTTACAAATAGAATATGCGATAACTTCCTGAATGATTGTCTAGTAGGGTATACAGAGAATTTTTTTTAACACTATAAACACCAAGTGTATTCTACAATTATTTTCGAATATGAAAACACATTATGGACTTTTTTAACCTGTACGAGTAAAGTATTTTCATATTTACGATTTTATTTTTATTTTTATTTAATTTATTTTTTAAAAGAGGATACCCCTTTGAAAAATTTCTGGGTCCGCCACTGCTTACGATCATGTCTTTTCCGTAAAAGCTTAAAGAAAGCATATTGATACTATACGCACCTGCCTAACGGAGTTCTCCTCCAAGTTAAGTCAAAAAGTTACTCGTCCAAAATCTATTATGTATATGACTACTGACATAATATGCTACCAAGCAATGAGACTTAGCAAACTTGCGAGAATCCTCCCTGACCTCTGACTTGGGCAAGTAAATGGGGCTTTACACATAAATAGCATGGTCTTCAAGGATCAATATAAGGAAATTACTATGAAAATTTAGAAAAAAACTTGTGCCGTGGAAAACACGTTATCTCTTCCTCGTGGATGGAATAAGGTTTGTGAGATCGATTTCCTCCTCAATGACCATTTCCCCTATGTTCATGGAGTTACTGCTAGGTTCATTTTGCAACTCTATTGGCTGGTGTAATCGTCAATTCATCTAGGCTGAGGAAATATGACAATATAAAGTTTCACCCCATAGATTGGGACTAAATGCCAAACCACTAAGCCACAGGGAATTGGCATTCGTCAAACTAGGCAAACCAACCTCGCGATGCTTGCTAAAGGTGGATGAAAGCTTGCCAAGGAAAAGAAGCCATGTGGACTAGGGTATTGAAAAATAAATATAGAAGCAAAAATGAAGACCAATGTTCACAACTCACTAAGTTTTGGCAAAAATGAAGCCATGTTGACTAGTGGGTTAAAGTCTTTGTTGTGATGGACGCTTTGGCAAAACTCACTACTAATAGTCTCATGAAACATTACAAACTTACATATGTGTGGAACAAGATCCTCCCTCCTCACATGACCGCTCACATATTCAAAGTCTGCCAAGAGGATTGGCTTCTATCTAACATTCAAAACAAGTCCCAAGGAACCTAAAAGAGATATGGTCAAGCATTTCATGATTTTCCTATGGTTCATATGGAAGCATCGATGTGACTCTATCTTTCGTGGTATAATTTTGATGAACTCTACACTTCTCAATTATGTCGCCACAGAAGCAAAAGGTTGGACCACTACATGGGAAACTACCAGCTCTCATCTTGAGGCTGAAAACAAACCCCAACAAAATGTATCCCTGGTAGGAGGATCTCCTTCACCCTCCAACTGGTGTAAACTGAACACTGACCGAGCATATCAAGGATCTCTTGGAATAATAACAACAAGGGAGGTCTTTTATGACTACAATATAAAGTGGCTTAAGGGATTTTGCAGCATGATTTGTTCAAGTATTTTCCATCTCTGTGAAGGTGTTGGATATATCACAAGGGCTATACATGGATTTGAAACATGATATTGAGTTCTTCATGGTATAATCTCACTCAAAGCTTGATACTAACCTGATTAACAAACAAGTATATTTGTTGCACTCGCTTTCAACCATCTACAGTGCTATTTGTCGAAAGTTAGCCCACGGGGCAGTTCGCCTAACACATACATATCGTGAAGGGAATGGATGAGGTACTGGCTCTCAAAGCATAGTCTCGTCTATCCCTTCCGGTTGTACGAGCTGGAAAACCCACTTCCGTAATTTCAAAACATTATTATGAAAGATATTAGGGAATTATCATCCTTTTTCAAACTGTTGTCCTGTAGCTTGGTCTGATTTTTAGTTCGCCCTTGTTTGTTCTTATGTATGGAGCTGACCCTTTGGGGATCCCTTGGTTCGTAATTTTTTTATGCTAATAAACTCCTAATATAAATCTCTTCTCTTTTTTCTAATTGATTTGTGCTTTCTTTGACTTATAACATGATGATGACCTTATTGTTGGTGGCCAGTCGACGAATGCTAAGGGTTCCTGGGCACATTTATTTAACATCTCTCATAATTTTGTATGAAATTTCATTAGCATGACTTATTAAGGATAGATTTCGGCTCTCTAATAAATATTTCCCTATTAAGAAATTTCTTTATGATATCCAAAACTTTATGTACTGCTTACTTGAGAAAATATGCTATATGGAAGGGAGAGCTTAGTGTGATTGTCAAAGTTTAGCCCAAATCTCTTG